AAAGATATATATATAGATGATAGATATAGTTATAGATGATCATCAAGTCTCAGATTTATTCTCCCCATAAAAGCACATATTTAACAACCATACATGGGCCATACTTCTGTGAGAATCCTAGAATCAAGCAAAAATTAAAATACCCTAACTACCATGACACTGGTAACAATTGCATTGATACAAGCACAAACAAGAATATTTACTTTTCCACCTCTCTGCCTTTTATAAATCAAAATATTTCAGTGGTAAAAGAGAGTTATTACTGGGCCATGGAGAAGCGTATTAATCATCTCTCCTAGGGCTAAGACAAAATTCCTGATTCCAGAATCTTAATAGAGGAGAGGTTTATTTTCACCGTAGCATCAGTGAGCTCAGACCATGGAGGCTGGCTCCTCCACAGAACCAACATGGTAGAAGGGCCTGATGGAAGACTGCTCATGTCAGCAAAGAGAGGAGGGAGAAGCCGGGGGTGAGAATACGCCTTTGCTTTCCACCTGTCATAAAGTGAAGAATTTTTCTCTGGCCATTATTTGCTGAATGTCATCAGTCAGTTTTACATATCTTTTTGATGATAAAAATAGATAATATATCAACCACTGTAAATTAGCCAGGTATCTTGAAAATCTGTAACATATGCAATATTTTATGTTACTGTTTTTGTCTTTGTTGCTGTTATTTGTTTTTGCCTTAGTTTTTAATCCTGAAGATTTTTTTTTGTATTTTAATAAGGTTCTTCAGTGTCTCACTACGTAGATCAGATTCATACTGATTCACCTGTGTTCAGCTTCACAAGAGCTAGTATTACAGGCGCGTGCCACCACACCATCTCAATTGCTGTCTCAGCATGCCCCAGAGCCTGGGCCGGCATGGCAAGCCAAGGATTGAACCCTGGCTACTGCGTCTGCCTAAGCAGGTGCTTTAATCCACTGAGCTATTTGGCTGGCCCTCTGCAGACAAAATTTAAAAAAGAAAAATATAAAGAAGCAAATAAATAAATACATAGATGGTATAATTTAAGGAAAGAAAAGGACAAAAAACAAGGACAGTAAAGGGAAGGAAGGGAAAAACACACACAATTGTTTTTCTGACTCTGTATCAGGCATTATTCTGAGTGCCATAAAACAGATCATAAAGAGGTGGGGACCAGCGGTCCAGTGAAACACATGGTGGCAGGCAGAGACCTGCAGCATAAAAAAGTCCAAAGCAGCAGTGAGAATTGAGCAGCAGTGAGATGAACAGGCACTGTGCTCCTACACACAGATACAAGGAACAGAAAAGCAGGTGAGCAGGGCTGTAATTTTATTTCAAGGGGCTCAGGGCAAATTCCAGCAATAGAATGGTCCTGGGTCGCTTCACTGCCAACATCCCAGAGGGAAAGGAGGGAAGAGCCATCCAGTCGCAGTACACTGCCCACAGGTGGGAATCAGACAAGGGGGGATTATTCCAGGAGATTGGAGCTGGGACCATCTAGACTCTGTTCTGGTGGCCACCAAAAGCCAGTCTCAGCCCTAGATACAAAGGACTGAAAGCATTGGTCTGGTCTGAAACCAGCAGAGTAGTCTTAGTCCCATGGCATAAGCAGGCAAGCACCCTTGGTCTGCAGCAGGACAAGAGCAGTCCCCTGCCCTACTATTTAGAAAAATTTAAAACTATAGCTTCATAATTGGGTACTCAGACTCAACAGGACTTGACTAAACCATCCAGCTGCAACTCAGAGATACTTTGACTCAGACCCACCTCACCAGCTGAACAATGGCCTGCAAATATATCCTTTGCTAGCCTGTTTTAAGAGCTATCTACCTGAGACGGGTTAACCCTGTCAAGGACACAGTAAATCTTACCTGCTTGCTGGACCGTGACTTACCCCAGACCTTCCCACCTCATGATGAATGACCCCCTCTAGCTAAATGTGCCCCAGACACATCTTCCTAACAATGTGTGACCAAATCTATGTAACCAGCTATAGACTAATCCATTATCAACTCCGTACTTCCTGCTGACAAAATGTATATAACTTGCTATTTAGCTCTAAGTCAATGCTGGTGATTTGGACCTAGTTCCCACCAGCCTGTCATCATAAATAAAAATTGCCTTCCAACTCCTTGATGCAAAGCATTTTCCATCCAGTTTGCTACAGATTCTGCAACACCACAACCAACGTGTAAGAGGAGGAGTCAGTGGTGTGGAACAGAAGAAGCTGTGCAAGATCCAGAGGGGCCCCCTGGGCACAGACCTAGAAGCAACTCTAGGCTTTTCCTATGTGAAGTCACCACAGCAACGGGGAGAGTGCCGGAGAGACAATTCTGGTAAGGGGATGAGGACATGCAGAAAATTTTTGCTTCAGGTCAGTCCCAGCCCCACACCCAGAGGCAAAGATCAGCCTCTCACCCAGCACTCAAACTTGGCAGAGGTAAACAGCACATTTCTGTGATCAAATTTAGACACTCTCACAGAACTAAGGACACCTGAGGAATTTTATTATTTTTTTTCTTTTTCATTTGTTTGATTGGTGGTTTTTTCCTGTCTGTTTTATTTTTTTCTTTTTCATTATTTTGGCTTCTTTCCTTTCTTTTTGTTTCCTTCTGTTTATCTTCTTTCTCTTTCCTCAACTATCCCCCCTGATTTTGTTAGATTTTCATGTGGGTAAACATTGCCTCTTTTCTTTCCAGTTCATTTCACATTCTTTTTTTTTCTGTATTTAGGACAGGGTCTACAGGATCTCACTATGTAGGTTGGACTCATAGCAGTTCTCCTGTTTCCAGCCTCCCAAAATCTGTGATTACAGGCACGTGCCACCAGACCCAGTCTCAATCGCTGTCTCAGTGCACTCCAGGGGTGAGGTCAGCACAGCACACAGGGTATCAAACCCCAGCCACTGCACTCTACCTAAGCAGACTTCAATATTCTTTTGCTTTCTCTGGCATTCTTTCTCTCCTGTGTTCTCCAGTTTTGTGCCACCTAAAAGTTATAGTTTGTAATAGCTAACTCTTGGAAACAACTCAAATGTCCATCAGCTAATGAATGGGCAGAGATGTGGGTTCTTATACAATGGAATAGTACTCAGCCATAAAGGATAAACTTCAGACATTTATGGATAAATGGATAGACCTTAAGAACATACTTTTAAGTGAGATAAATCAGACACAGATGTGTAAATATCACAGTGTGTCTCTGGTGTGAGAAACTGAAAGTGTAAATAAGAACCAAATTGTATAACAGATACTGTGAAAAAAAGAAATCAATCGAAAGGAAAGGGGAAGTAAGGAGGAGGAGAAAAGGGAGACATAAGGGGAAAAGGAAGGGGAAAGAAAAACATGAGAAAAGAAGGATAAAATGGAAACAGAGTTCTTTAAATAGGGAGACAAGTGTCAAAGGGAGGGAGGAGAGTGGGAAAAAAGAGGACACAAGGTACATTTCATATGGGTACAAATTCTCAAAGATGACTGTGCTCATTGTGTATATCTAAATCATACCAATAAACTTAATTTAAAAAAATATATAAGAATAAAATTTCATGATTCATAAAATATTCTATAGAAGCACAGCCCCGTACACATGTTTGTACATTACTGTTAGCTTATTTTGTGCTTCAAGGCCAGAGTAGCAGAGTAGATCTGTAAAAGGACATTAAGTCTTGCTAAGCTGGAAAAATGTAACGTAAGGTCACATTTCACAGGAAACGCTTTCCAACAATTGATCTAAGTAGTCACCACGTAACTGGGCCTCAAGCTTCTTTATCAGTTAGAATACAACCTTGTCCTGTCTTCCCCAAGCCACTTACTTGAGAGGAGAACACTGCTTCCATTTTTTATCTTTTCCATAATCATCCGTCAATGAACACCAACTGCGATCCAAAACATAGCCTTTCTTGGTACACGAGTGAAACTCTTGTCCTTTGAAGTAGAATGGAAAGGTACATTTTGGAGGATCTGCAGAGAAAGGGTGGGTGGGAAGAGAACCGTAAATATGGAATATGGTCAGATTCCCCACAATTGAAGTTATAGCACATCACGAGTTTTCAGTTGAATATTTTTTAAAATTTTATTTATTTATTTATTTTATGTGTGTGTGTGTGTGTGTGTGTGTGTGTGTGTGTGGCCAGCCCACCAGGGCGCTGGCTGGCATGTGGTGCTGGGGGATTGAACCGCGGTCCCTGCGCTTTGCTAATCTTGTTCCAAGTAGGTTCCCTAGACCACTGAGCCATCTCACCAGCCCGAATATTTTTTAAAAGCTGTAAAAATTATGTAGAAAATTTCATGCTATGCACTCAGGTCTTTCTGATACCATGATTTATATAGCCATAAGCTATCACCTGCATCTGAGGTCCTGGGCATCTAAGCATCTAAGCTATCCCATGGAAACACACTCACCTGCCGCAGTGCAATATCGCCATCTGCCTTGGAAGTTCACGTCAAAAGAACACCAAGCAAAGTCACTGTGAATGGAGATACAATTGTAGTGGTATGCATCAGCGTAGATAAAGGGAAAGATGCAGGGTCTTGGAGAAATGCCTAGAAAAGAAGAGGCATGCAGAATGCACAGCAGCTCATGAGAAGAACTAAAATTCAAATGTACGTCTCAGTGATCCATCTCAGAGATATTTTCTTGTTGCCTGACAGCCACATGCATCTGGTCTCGCTAAACTGTTTTTCCTGGATGTGGCAGGAAATATAAGTGAATACCACATATTTACTTGTTTCAGTTCAGAGCTGGCTGAGGCTGGAGTCATTAACTTCCTTCTAAGATAGGTCTTCTTATCACCAATAAACCTGACTTTCCAAATAAATAAATAATAAAAAAAAATTTTAAAACCCTGACTTTCCAAAGCCCTAACTCTGAAGTCCATCCCATTGTCTCTTATCTTCACGATTCCTTAAAAAATACACCTCTTTCCCTGAAAAAAAAAGAAATTGGTCCTAAGCATCTCTCCAAGCTCTCTACTTCCTTCGACATGCTTTTCAATCATCTAGCATTTTGCCTTGCCTTGACTACAATGATTTGTATTAGCACACCCCATCCCCCATTGCTTGGTGCAGGAAGGAGAATGCTCATTCTTAAATACTAACTTGGGCCTGCAGCTAACCTATTTGACATCCTGTCATTCATAAGATAACAAATAGCACTGAAATGACTTACTTTTTCATCTCAGGAGCAAACTTCAAAAATGCAAAGAAATGAATATTTCATTCACTTTAATTACTGAATATTGTCAACAGGTATCAAAACATCACATCCAACTCTTTATTTTTTATTTTTTTTTTGTGTGTGTGTTTTCATACAGGGTCTACAGGGTCTCACTACATAGATAGGACTCCTAGTGATCTGACTGTGTCCAGCCTCCCCAAAAGCTGGGATTACAGGTGTGGGCCACTATGCCCAGTCTCAATCAATGTCTCAGCACACCCCGGGGCAGGGCCAGCACAGCATGCCAGGGATTGAACCCTGGCTGCTGCGTCTGCCCCAAACAGGTGCTGTAATCTGCTGAACTATTTGGCCTACCCTTACATCCAACTCTAGATACACAATATCCATTTTCTCATGGAAAAGAAAACTAACTACAAAGTAAGAGAAAGTACACCCACATAATTGCTGATGCTGGTTGTAACAGAGAAAAGTATCTTTTCTGGAAGGACAGTAGAGAATCTCATTTTGCTCTCTCAACTATGTCATCAAATATCTGGTTTGGGCTCCTGTAACTCAGGAAAGTCTTTCAAATTAGAAGAATAACACTAGAAAGAGCTAAGTGGCAGAAAAACCCAAGAAATTTTCAGGAATATAATATTATTTAAAGGGTAGGGGGCAATCATTTGAAAGGCTGACAAGTAGAGATGGTCTCCCTACCTGGAACTCGATGATGTAAATGGGCAATGAGGTCTAAAAAGGAAAAAAAAAGTGAATAAAGTTTAGGCAATCTCTTAAAATACTTAATTCCTAAAATAATTGTTGTTCAAATACACCACAGAGTTTACATAATTAATTGTTCTTTTGTTGTGGAATCATCTACAATATCACATTTTGGATGTCTTTACAGATACTTCCAGTTGTGGAATTGTGTATCTCCATAGGAAATCCCTCCTTTTATTCACATATGAGCTCTATTTTAAAGGTCTTTTTTGAGTAAGTTAGAGTAAGCTCATTTTATCCAAGGATATCCAATTCCTATGAACTCATTGCAATGCTGAAATTTTGTCAACATCCATAACAGCAAGAGAGACTTTCTCCAAAAATAATTTGCATTTATGTAGGAACAGCAGGACATTGCAACAGGAATATTCTTGCAATAGTAATATGTGCATATGTAAACAAATCAAGACTTTTATTCAAAGCCAAAACAAAGACGAATACATCTGATACTTTGCAGCAATAATCCTATGAGCAAGGAGCAGTGCATATACAAGAAAGAACAGATAGTGACTGGGCAGATACATCTGGCAAAGAGATATAGAAATGGAGGTTCAGAGTGGAAAACTGTACAACCAATGTCTCTGAACTAAGAGTATTTTGGATAGTCTCCTGGCCCTAGCTCCTGTCTCTATATAAATCCTGTGGTGAGGAGGCTGCCCCTGAGCTGAGCCTTTTCCAAATGCATCTGGAAAGTGACTGTTGCTCTAGACTGAAGCCCAGGATCTTGATATTTCCTTGTGGATATCAGGATGAGAGCTGCTATGGGTGAGTTTCCTGCTTCCTTACAAAGCATGTTGTTTTGCCAACAAAGCAGCTAGTCATTATAACCTTCCATCTGTATTATCTTAAGCATTAGTGGCTCCTTTTGATTTATAGATGATAGAATAGAGAAACACATTCACCCCATTTTTTCCAAACATCCACAAGTATCTGTAATCTTAAATACATCTACCTCTGCCTGGTTCCTCAGACTTAACTGGTTGTGATCATACCCCACACACACAACAAGTAATTGTTTGTCCTTTCTTCTATTAATAATTTCTGAAAACACAAAATCTTTATAGAATCCCTGTCATCATGATTTGTGTGTTTATCACATCACAGTTCTGGCCAAACATGACCATTTGTACATGTCCAATGTTCCTCCCACTTCTTCAGCCAATCAAGTACTGCAAAGACATAGCACCCCCCAATCACCACCACTGATTAAGGACTCAGAGTCTGGATATGTTTTCAGAAAGAGAAAAGGAGAGACCACCAGCAATATCCAAACCCTACCTGACCCTCACAGGTAGCTGTGCCATTCTTTTATTGGATAATAATAATCACACAATAGTCCATAATAGTAGTGGGTTATCTGTGGACCTAGCAATGTCAGAAGTTGTTGACTTGAGCCTTTTACAGCTCAGCATATTAATATAGCTTTACTTTTTATACCTTGTGTTTATACTTTTTTGCTGGATGGTTAAGACCAAGATAAAGCGAGACATATATAACAAAAAATGTAACTTTTCTATCTGACAAGGTCAGCCAAATCACCTGAAACCATGTATAGCACCTTGTAGATCTTTTCTCAGTGTCAGCCATGTGGATGAGTCACGGCCATTGTTTGACCAATTTGCTCTCTGTGAAAGCCTGGGAGAATGTTTTTCTCTAGGTAACTCTCCTTAGGCCCACTCTACATCATCGATCACTTTCCTCTGTGGCCCCATAATCTCCTTGAACAGACAATGTGGGACACCACTGAGTTACAGGATGTTGTAGTACAGGTTCTCTTATGTCCTGAGTCCTCACTGACATTGATGGGCTAGGACCAAAATATTGGCTATCCTTGTACTCCTTATTTTTCTCCAATTTTTTTATCTGCAAACTTAACTTTTTAACCCTCCAAAATAGAAGCTTCATGATATTATTACCCTATAACAGATACAGTTGAGCTTAACATCACAATCTGTCTGAATAGCAAACGCCTTAGACATAACATGGAACAGGTATTTTCCAAAAATCGTTGACATGCTAAAGCTTAAATCCTTATAGAATGTGAAAAAAGAACAATAAAAAGGAATAAA